CCAGCAGGTCGCATCGAGTCACTGACTAGTGTCTGAGTCTTTACAGCAATCCTCATACTAAGCAAGCGTGCAGCGACAGTGGAGAGGAAAACTCCCTTTTAACAGGGAAAAACCTCCAGAGGATCCTGGCTCAGACACACACACACACACACACACACACACACACACACACACACACACACACACACACACACACACACACACACACAGTATTTTTCCATGGTTGCATTGTGATTTCTTAGTAAATATTCTATTAGGTGAGAGACAAACTTTATTGTATTTATCCTAGTGGATCTATAATTAAACGGGTAAACTAGTAGTAGCACATTAGGTAGGTAGGGACAATGTTTAGGCGGTTAGCAGCAGTGCTCAACAAGACTAAACTCTGAATTGAGAGGATTTTTTGAACCGTCCCTCGTAGCATCCTCCTCTGTAGTAGAAGCATTAGCACCTTCCTGGAGGCTTTGTCCTTCTCTCCATCTCTTCCCTGCAGTGCTGTACATGTCCACCATGGACCTCAGGGCTTCCAGGGTTAATAGGGAATCTACTTTTTGCCTCAGTAAAAAATAAAACACAGAAAAATTCTAAAAGATCATTTATTTAGCAGATGCATTAAGTTGTGAGCGTTTGGTAGTGACTGAAAGAATGAGAGGGTGGATACAAGCGGCTGAAATGAGTTTTCTCTGCGGGGTGTCTGGGCTCTCCCTTAGAGAGAGGGTGAGAAGCTCTGTCATCCGGGAGGGGCTCAGAGTAGATCTGCTGCTCCTCCACACCTCACCCTGTAATAATCACAGGTGTGTTTATTCAAATGTGTGCTTGCGATTACTCCAAATGAGCTTCAGATCTTTAGAGCTGCATGTGAATGTTGAGACTCTTATTGTGAAGGACTAAATGAAGTTCTGAGTTCCTCTGGACGCTGCTACAGAAGGAGCTAAGAGGCTTGTTTTAGGTTTTTATTGTGAATTTTTATTGGAATTTTCCAGGTCTTTTTGGTGAGTCGAGGGCTCGTTTAGTTGGAGCGTAGCTGAACTGGGCGGATGCACGAACTCTTCCGTAAGGACTGCCTTTTACTGCTCATCACCTGGAGTCTTTGGAGCTTCTCTTGTCTTGCAGTATAGAATGTTTTGCTGAGCGTCGTCGAGATTTCCAGATTTCCTGCTGCGCGTCCAGACTTTGGGATTGGCTCAAGTTTCCCTTTTGGTTGAAAATTTCTGAGCGCGACTTTTTTTCCAGATACTCGATAAGTTGAAGCAACAGTTTTTGGGACAATGGATCCGAGTCGGCACAACCCTCCAGCCGGACACCAGATCGTCCACGCCCGGGGGGGATTCCGAGATGGACCTGGAGACGCTTTTTAACATCGCGATGAACCCGAGCAGCAGCTACAGCGGCCTGGTCAGGAAACACATTCACTAAGAAGTCCACCTTCCAGAATAAGCAGCTTCGACCCAAGCAGCCACCAAAACCCCCTCAGATACACGACTGTGATGTCTGCAAGATCAGCTGTGCTGGCCCCCAGACTTACAAGGAGCACCTGGAAGGCCAGAAGCACAAGAAGAAAGAAACTGCCCTCAAAGTTTCTCAGAGCAGCACCAGCAGCAGTGGAAGTGGAAGCGTGTTGGCTCGCAGCACTCAGAACCAACTTCGCCGTGAACTTTGTGATGTTTCCTGCACAGGTGCTGATGCGTATGCCGCCCACATCCGAGGAGCTAAGCACCAAAAGGTATTAGTCTGACAGGAGGTTCACCTGCTTCTTTGTTTTATTCATTCATTTTAGTTAATAATTAATTACCAATAATAATAATTACCAATTTAATTATTTTCATTGCCCCTAGGAGATCTTTCTGATTTAGGTCACTGTGGTGTTCACATGTTACAAAGTAAATGGAGTAAAGCTTTAAGTTTCCTCACCACACATCTAGCTTAAGAGGTGCACGGTCAAACTGCTGGCTGAAGAGGATTGACCCCATTTGGGCCCCCAAGTAGTGTGCCAGGTTGCACACTTTAATGGCTGATTGGACTTGGGACGCAAGCTGAGGTCTGATCGACCTACAGCTTGCCGCCTCTGAGGGAGGGTGTATAGTGTTTTAAAGGCCGAAACATCCCATGATCCAGAGGAACACTACTGAGGATGCGTCCCAGAAATTTTTTCCTGCAATTCTACCATCCACCGTTAAGTAGATCAAGTACTCGTGTGTTCTTGCACAAGGAAATACCATCTGATCCTGTGTTTTTTGGAATCTAAAGTCATTTATCAGTCAAATCCAAGCAGCTTTGGGTTTTAATGTGATATGATGCAGTCTCTCACAGGAGAGGCTGTCTATGCACGCTACACACAACTAAACTAAAACCATACTTCTTATCCCTTAATTAAAGTACACACACTCACAGAGTGAGAGGAAAAAGTCACGTTGTTGACCGGTTTGTTCATCGATGACAAAGATATTTGACTAGTAATGGCTGACTCTGATTCTGAAGAGTAATAGTCACCCTCTGATAAAGATATATCACTCATCCAGCGAGAAAGTCATGCTGCAGCCTCATGAGAGTAAACAAGTTGCACAAACACGATCTGAAGCTTATTTCATCTTGTGCAGGACATGGTGGTTGTAGAAAGGATGGTAAAAGCATTACCAATGGTGACAGACGTAGTGCCAAAGTAAAAAAAATCTTTAAAGAGCCATGAATAAGGGCCGACACGGTAGATGTGAAACGGAAAGTAAAAGTGTTACAATTAGGGGTGGGACTCCATTAAAAAAATTAACCTAATTAATTAGAGGCTTTGTAATTAATTTATCCTAATTAATCACATTTTAATCGTTAATGAAAATGTGCCCTCAAAGCAATTTTAAATGGAAAATGAGGCAGAGAATCAAACATTGGGCATGGTTATTATCACTACAAACTTTCATTTGTAAAAAAGATGAAATTGCATTTTAATTATTCACACGTGACGGTGTGATATGAAACGGGGTTTCTGAGCCTTTATATTGTCTCTCAGTCTAGTTGAATTACTGAAATAAATAGACTTTGCACCAGTCCTGGTGCCAGGTCGAGGTCAAACCTCCCTGTAGGAACTACAAGGTAAAAATAAAAAGGATGAACCTTCGTTTAAAAACACCAGATGTTACACAGTCAAGTCATTACAATATCTGTTTTTATCCAACAACGCTGATGCTCCTTGGTAGCTTTTTACTCCACTTTTCAGTCTAAAACCTTCATCTTTGTGTAAATTAAAACTATTCAGAAGCTGAAAAAACCAGTACGCAGTTTTTTTAAGCAAGGGAAACTCAAGTAGGCCAAAATAGTTTTCTTATAGAGCTGCACGGTGAGAAGGTTACTGCTTTTCTACGTGTGGTTAGCATGTCCGTCCTCCCACAGACTAAAAACATACACGCCAGGCTCATTGTGACTAAAATGTCCCTAGTTGTGAGTGTGCATGGCTGCGTGTCCCTGTGATGGACCAGAGACTCGTCCAGGATATCCTCGCCTCTCGCCCAGTGCCTGCTGGAGATGGACGACTATTGGGGAATAAACAGGTCTGAAAACAAGTGACTTGGTTTGAAAAGTCGGGTTTTCTGCCAAACAAAAACTCCGTTAGGTTCATCATGATTGGATGAATGCAGCTTCTAGTGAAGACAGATGTGAAAACCAGCTGAACCAGATAAATACGCAAAAGACTGCAAACAGCAAGTGACTCGAATCGAGTTTAATTGAGGAGAAAATCAGAAGAGTTGTGTGCTCCTCACCGTGATTCCTCTCACACTTCTAATGACTGGACCACTTATTTCCACAAGTCCGTGGAAATGGCCTCGTGCTTTCATCTGCATTCATCTCCCTGGTTACAGACTAGGGTGTGTGTGTGTGTGTGTGTGTGTGTGTGTGTGTGTGTATGTGTATGTAATTAACTGGCTGTTGTTTTTAATGAAGGGTGGGCAGCCTGAGCTCCATTTTGCCGTGCGGCGACCATCGGGGGATGAAACGAGCCCGGCGGTTCGGGATGGAGGAAAAGTAGAAAAATATCTGAGAGGAGAAGGAAGTGTAAAAATGTGATGGATGGTCTGGATGGATTAAAGGAAACAATAAGAAAACAAGCTTTACTTCAGTCTTTAATTATCTGAATACATTTTTAAATCTTTAACCAGGAAGTCCTTTGAACTTAAATCTTTTATTAAACAAAAGAAATAGTTAAAAGCTCTAATTGGGCTGGAAAAAAAAACAAAAAAAGAAATGGGCACAGACATCAGCTCTGCAGGATTTAGTGCAGACCTGTTGGGTCATTTCTGTTCAGCTGCTCTGAGTCATTTACTGTCCTTCAGTCCAAGTTGATCAAAACATTTCTGTTGAATGTCTAAAAGTAACAAGTAGAGATGCTCTGCACATAATCTAGTGAGGACCGCTGTCCCCGGGGTGTCCTCCCAGCCCAGAGGGAGGACACCCGGATGCCAAAATCACCTAAACTGACTCCTTATGATGAGGAGGAGCAGCGATGACGGAGAACCTTCCCATATCTCTAAATATGAGTCCAATAACCTCAGACAGGAAGCTGGTTTCAGCTTTTTGGATCCAAGATCTTGTTCCTCCATCCTCGCATCACTGATGATCATCCATGCTAAACCTGAGGGGGCGTGTCTACTGCAGCACAGTGTTTGTTTGTTTTAGGGTTAGGAGATGCGTTTTTTTTTTTGTGAGTGGATGCTTTTTGCAGCTGGCTGGAAAAGAAACAGATCTCGAGGAGGGAACTCATATCAACATAACCCGGGCAATGCGGACAAAGCCCCGGCACCAGTCATGACATTCATCTGAAGAGTAAATAAATGAATAAAACGCAGGTGAATTAGCTGCTTTTCACTGGAGTGAAGCAATACATATTTGCAGCAACAAACAATCTGCATGTATCTGAATAAATCTGTAAGATCTGGTCACAAACCAGAAACCTGTTATTAAAGTTATTTTCCTGAACTAAGAATGATTTAATGTATCGCCTCTGTGTGCTGCAGGCGCCGTGGAGGTGAGGAAAGAAGGCCTGGAGGCTCAGATCAATCGCCTCGCCGAGCTGATCGGACGTCTCGAGAACAAGGTAAGAAAATAAAACCTTCATTAGTTTCGCCTTCTGGTCCTGACTTTAACACAAGTTCACACGACTCATGAACAATAACTCCCATTTATAAAGAACAATACGTTTTTACTAATAATACATTTTATTTAAAAGCACCGTTCATGACACACAAGGACACTTTACAGCAGTGGAAACAAGATAAGCACAGCACAAAAATATCAAACATGAAAGAGAAAATTAATAAATAATAAATAAATGTAACTAGGTGGTAAAAACGTGTCTGAAGAGGTGGGTCTTTAGTTGTGAGGGAAAGACAATTCCAGAGGTGGGGAGCAGAGCGGCTGAATGCTCTACTCCCCATGAGGTGAGCGGGGGGGGGGGGGGGGGGGGAGTTTAGGAGCAGAAGAGGAAGGAAGTGAGCGGACAGGAGTGGTGATGTGAAGGAGATTACCCCGGGTTTCCACGCAGTGTTGCCAGATGTACGATAATTATCGTATTTGTACGATAATTTTGGGCTCTGTACGATGTACGATCAATAGTTTCAAAAATCCTCAAATGTACGATAATTTCACATTGCACCTAGTAACATCGTCTTTTGCTGTGGCTTTCCCAAGTCCATTAAATAATTTTAAACTGTTCTGTAGTCAGATTTCACCTCAGTGCTTACAGGTTTATGCTATTGTGTCTATTACAAAAACTGACTCTGGAACTAGGTGAGTAGGCTGCTTTGCCATTTATTGGGTCAGTTTTTCCACTGGTGTGATGTTTTGTCGCGTGCGTTTAACCTATGTAGAAATGAAATAAATAGGACTGTGCAAATGTGCATATTGTGTCAATGCGTGGAGGTCGGAGTGGTGCAGACACACTCTGCACGTTTATAAGCATTATATTACTGGTTTTAAAGATGTTTATTTAAACAGGGCAATATAAAACACCTTCTTTGTTATATTATGTTGGAGTGAGAAGTCGTTTATAGAACGTTATTATCAAATTTATAATGTACGATAATTTGTACTGAAAAACGATAATTTAGGCCTCTCTGTACGATATTGTGGGTTTTTGGCAACACTGTTTCCACGGGAGCCGCCAGCAGCACGTCTTGCTCGCGTAAGCTGCTGCTTGGCCCTTCCCACCAGAGACGCGTAGCAGCAGGGGAGCAGCTGTTACCGACCGAGCACGAAGTCACACGAGTGACTTCGTCAGTAAACACAACAACAAGCAGGAGAAAACTACAACATGGTTTGTGTTTTATGTTCTGTCCGTTTTATAATCGCCAATACGGACCTGAAAAACAAAGGAGACCGCTAGCTAGGTGATAACTTCTCACGGGGCCGCATAGTTAGTAACCTTTTTTAAAAGTAAAGCAACCGGAAAACAGTACGTTCTTTATTCTGAAAATCTCGGGAGCTTCGCTCCGTTTCCGCGTCCGATTTCCTGTCTTTCCTTCCCCAAAAATGTCGAACTTGACCCGTTTCAGAGGCGTCGCGCGTAGAAAATAGAACCGGCGCATAAAGGCCGCGACATGCTGCTCCTGAGACGCGGCCGACTCGAGCTGCCGACGGCTCCGGTGGAAAAGGTTCTGTTGACCACAGCGGTTCCTATCAGCAGCTATGACGTGCTGCTGCAGTAACGTGCTGCTGACGGCTCCCGTGGAAAGCCGGGGTCGGATTTGTTAGATGGAGCCAGGTTATGAGGAGCTTTGAATGCGATGGATTCTCTGTTTGATGGGTAACCAATGAATTTGTTGCGTAAACTAATAATATGAGATAATATCATGAAGTAATAATCAACATTTATAGCGCTTTACACTACCAGAGGGTGACCAAAGTGCTGAACATTTAAAATGAAATTAAGAACAAGTAAAACATTTAAACACTGTAAAAACAATTAAATGTCAAGTAAAAATGTTGAAACCAAGCGCACGTGATCCAATACGGACTACAACGCTCCAGGGTATTCAACAGACCTGCAAAAGTGTGCAATGGTGTGTTTTTAGTCCAGAGTAGCATCAGTAATTATGTGCAGGTAGTTTGTTCCACAGCTTTGGAGCATGAACCATCACCCCACTGTCTGTAATTAGATCTTTGAATGTGTTAATGAAATTGAGCAGAAGTCATGTTTTTGCAATGAGAGACTGTCACAGACAGCAGAAGGGGGGAGACCATGAATACCTTTAAACGCAAACATTAGATCCTAAATTTAACAGAAAAACCTGTGAAAACTGGAGATGTGTGTTGCTGCTATATATATATATATATATATATATATATATATATATATATATATATATATATATAACAGTATTTTAAATGGGAAATTATTAAACAATCTTAGGAAGCAGGCTGAGGTAGCAAACTCAAAATGCAACAATAGAAGTGCAAAACATTAAAAATAATGTATAATGTTTCAGTGAAGTCCCGTTTCAATTTTTCTGAATAAACTTCGACTCCTGCACACAGCATAGACGTAGAAGAGTAGACGCCGCACCAACCGCTACTGCCTATGTTTGGCCGCATTTTCGTGTTCTACTTTTTATAAACTCTATGGCTAACAGGATGTTTTAGCTAGGCTTTAGCTCCGGAAAAGCTCCGTGGAGATCTGGAGCTAGAACGGCGAAAGAACGCGTTCATAAACCCGTTCGCGCACGTGTGATACCCTTATGTGGTTTATCACATTATAGGTTTAAAGATATATATTTTATTTAAGCAAGAAGGTCCCGTCTCCAATTATAAAACACTTGGTTTCCAGTTTTGGGGTAACTGCAGTTTTTATAGTTCACCAGTAGAGGGAGTTCTTCCCAAGGTGAGTCCAGGGTGTGGTTGTCTGCTCGGAGCTCAGACAAGAACCTGCCTGCCGACAGACAACATCTCATGAGTCTTTCTTTTGGTTCTCTAATCAAATACAGGTCAGTATCATGAGTATTTTAGACTGCTGCACTCACACGGTTTTCAAAACTTCTTTTAAGTTGTATGTGGTAATTTGTATGTACAGAAATATAAGTTTGAGGTTGTGAAAGAACATGGATTGTGTGCTGCATAATTGAAGGAAATTTAGCATGAGTGTGTATTGGGTAAAGATGGCGGACCTCCGTGTATTTAATTTAGTTACAACGTGGCTCCAGGATCAGTGTTACTTTAATAATTAGATCTTTATTGAAAGTATTATATGTTGATAGGGTTCTGTGTGTTTTTCAAATGTGTCCTTATAGAAAGTGGTTATTAACATAGATGCTGTAACGAGATGTTATGTGTTTTTAGAATATTGTTTAATTGTTGAATGAGCAGGTAAAATAGCATTTGATGTGCTTCATGTGTAGCTTGTGTTCAGAGCTACAAAAGAACAGAGTTAAGTGAATTACTCTAGTCTAAAAGAAAAATGAAAGGAATTTATCAGGAGAGACATTTTATTTTCTTTAGAAAAACAAGTGTTGGGATATTAACATTGGAATGGTTGTATGTTTAGGAAGGAAAATTGTGAAATGGAACAAAATGGAAAATTAGTGATTTTCTGTTAATAAAGAGACAAGAACCTGCCTGCCGACAGACAACATCTCATGAGTCTTTCTTTTGGTTCTCTAATCAAATACAGATCCTTCAAAGGCCTGTAACACACGCCAGGACGAACGTACTCATTTTTACGTTCGTCAGGCAAAACACGAACGAGTTCAGTTCACGTTCACGGAAAAAACGAACAAATTCACAAACGATCATTCAATGAACGCATTCGGGCACATCACTGCCTTGGGGTACACCAAAAGGGAGGCTGGCTCTGGATGAGTAGGTGTCACTGACAACGACAGACTTCTGTTGACCAGAAACATCTGAACCAGTTTAGTGCTGTGCCACGAATCCCAACATCAGTAATAATTTGTTATTATTTTGTTTTTCTTCTCCAGTTCGGTGTACCTCAGTGAGCTTTAGTGACGGCCTAAAGCGGTTTACTGCTGCTAACGTTGGAATAAAAATTAGGTTAGAATAATTTTCAGGCCTTTATGGGAGAAAATATTCCTCTGATATGTTTTTGTTTTTAAATCAAGAGATTAGTTGGTTTCCTTGATGTTTTAGAATAACGATACAGCTTTGATTTCACATGGACCACAGAAATCTCTGCTTCTCTCAGTTTCTAACCGATTTCTGTAAAATGGACTTTATTGATTGAGCAACAACATAATTGTAGCCTCAGCTCAGAGAAAGTGGATCATTTGAGTTTAGCTGATTATTTTTTGTTTTTTGGTCACCTTATGTTGTAGAAATCAGTCACCTTTACTAGCAGAACGTGTTAGCATCGTGGATCTGTGAGGAGCTGGAGAAGAGAGCCAAACGCCCTCAAAGATGTTTCCCTGAGACCATTCCTGATGACGTTCACTCTTGTTCTGAGCTTTTTGGATTGGATGATTGCGCGTTCCTACGGTAATCAGACAGAATCAACACTTATGTTTGTTTATGTATTTAGCAGGCGCTTTTGTCCAAAGCGACTTACAAACGATAATCGGCATGTTGCCCTTGAGGCTAACAACAACAATAACAACAACTTGACATCACTCAAGGGAAAAGGAGTGAACAGTAGAGAGGGGGAATGGGTGCAGGGAGGGTGCTAGTTTAGAAGATGCTCTCTGAAGAGTAGGGTCTTCTAGTGAACTAGACCAAATTCTTGCTTTGCAAAGTTTGGTCTAGGAACACTCCACTGGAACCTCTGCAGCCCCTAACAGCATTCTGGCTAGCCAATCACAGCTCTCTAGAGGGGTTTCAAACACATGAAGAGCTGTGATTGGTCCATAATGGTGGGCCAGTCATAGTGCTCTATCTGCATAGTGAACAAATCACAGAGCTTTATCCGCTTTGTGGGCCAATCAGAGCACTCTATTTGCCTGGTGGGTGGGATGATGCAACAGAGTGAAACAAGATGGCGACAGCTCGTTTGAAACGGCTTTTACTTCAATTTTGGACTATTAGAACTTGGGCTTCATTAGAATCAGGAGCAGATAGATGTATTCAAGTGCTTTTTTTGAAGAAAAAAATATG